GCTTCAGAACACTTTAAGTGCAAAACATTGGCGCGAGCAAATCTTATGTTAGGCACAATGGGAGCTGTTATCTGACTGATTTATTCCTTAAAATTAATAAGTAGTGATGCATCTAATTGCTCCACTTTCGTAGCGGGCAAGATGCGCGTGCAGAAAAAGAAAATAGGAAATAAGGTGAACGTGTGGCCATTTAACCTGAAAGTTGCTTTCACTACCTGGGGTAGTACTCTAGAAATCAGTTTTCAAGGCTTTGACTTCGTGCCCAAAACCTTAGCCGAGTAGAAATCTAATAGGCGTTTTCGTACTTGACCGCGCCACGCGTAGCTATCGATTCTCGCTGTTGATACTTCATTTCGAGACCTTTGTCCAGTTTCGTAGAAGAAATGGGCACAAGCTCATATCCTTGTATGTTGGCTTGTTCAACAAAGTATTTTGCAGATATGACAATAGGTTAGTGTGAAGTGTAAGGTTTTGCGGCGTTTTGTTTACACCATCCAGCTTGATACTCTGAAACAAAGAAAGTCAAAATAGGAATAGGAGTAGTGGCGCAGGCTAGCTGGTGAACGCTCGTACTAATAAAACCTCGAGACAAGGTAACAAAAAGAAAAGAAAGAGGACTATTGAACAATGTCTCAATATCTTTGAGACGTTACGCCGTTGGGTTGTTTTTTTACTTTTTCTTCTTCTTTCCTTTTCCGAGATTTCTTTAAGTACGATCAAGATAGGCACGACAACAAACAAGAACGTGACGAAATGAGCTCTAAAAAAATGCGGTGGCTTACCTCGGTTATGCCAGGATATACGCAACATGAGCTTATACGCACAAAATGAGAGGCGCTACCAAGCGGCTCCGGTGCAGCGTCAGACTTGGCTACTGCGCAACGGAGGCGCACAGCTGGTCACGCGGCGGCGCCAGTGCGTCTGACGCGGCTATGACGTCACTCCTCTAGAACGCACAGACCGGCGAGGCGGGCGCGGCGGCGGGCGCGGCAGCTGTGCGCCGTGTGACGTCACTGCTCCTCACGGATGCGCAGCACGGAGCACGGCTCATTATGCGAGCCACGGGAAACTGCTTAACCTCGGCCAAAGTAGCTCACGCTACAAAAGATCGAGGTGCACCTAAGCATTTCTTATGAGTTGTCAATGCGAAAGCATGCAAACCGCTCGTCCGCCCCCTTTTTCGTCTGCTGCGTACTTTTCGTCGCCGGTCGGCGCGTGGGCTCCCCTGGTGACCTTGGACGCTCCGCGCTGATGGACACGCAGCGCCATGGGGTGAGCGGTCGTGGAAACTGACGAGCGCAGCGGCCAATGGGAGCCGAGGTCTGATTGGTTCTGAATGAAAGAGAGGGGGTAGATCTCAAGGTAGCTTGCTCCGAGGTCTACCCACTATACTTCAATCAGAGCCAATCAGAGCTCGGCGCCTCTCTGACGTCACCGAAACTCTTGCACAAGAAGCAGACGACTTGCTCTCTGCATAGCGCTGCGCACAACTTATAAGATGGAGTATAATCGAGAGGCGAGTGCCATTATAGCTGGGTTCAAAACCCGTGCATATTCAGCTTGATGAGTAACAACCACGTGAACAATAGCCATTTATGTAAACACAACAGCGGACTGGTTAAATAAGTGGCACATAGGCACACTGATGATCTATCAGCCTTTCTCTTCGGCGTAAAAGCTTGCGTTTTTGTTTATACACATATAAACCAGCGAATAAACAGAACTCACGTGTTCCTCACTACAGCGCCACACCTAGAGATCGAGGCGTTGGGCCCAATTGCGTAGCGTTCAGATTTGTAAGCACGTAGCCACTGTTAATGATCATATGCATGGCTTCTACGTGATATCATCTTGCTGTGACGATTGTCGTTTCTACTTGTTATTGTGGAGGAGGGCAAATCGAAATCGGTGGTGCGAAATGTGTGCTGCAGGACGTACGCGCCCAACGCCAAGACCCTCACAGCGGTAGCTGGCGTGACGACAAGGCAAGCAATGTATAGTTTCGCGCGCTCGCCCTCTCTCTTTATAATGCGAAAGCATTATAAAGAGAGAGGGCGGAACGAACCGGTGTCTGCTCCCCGCTCGTGGCATGCCGATAGGGGCGTTCGGAGCGCTCGCGATTACGCACCGGCGGAGACGACGAATAGAGCCTAGATTTAAGAGAGGGAGCAGTAAGTACGCCTGCATTTGATTGTCATGTGGCCTGTGTGGCGAGGAAACTGGGCGGAGAGGCGGACAGGTTTGCAGAAGGTTTTGACTCCTTGCATGCTGCAGCTCGATTGAGCAGTTGCCCCATCTTTTAAATCTCGGCTCTCTATACCAAAGGCAGACAAGCTTGAGCGCGAACTCGGTGCCGTGCGCGCTTCTTTATTTGCTTCCTGATCCGTGTCGGCGTCTGGTCGGTGAGGTCCCTCTTGCACGAAAGTCTACTTCGCTCAAGCACCGATTTGGCGAATCATCGCCACTTAACGATGACGAGTCCCGGCACCGCCTGCGCCTCGACGGGAAAGACGAAAGAAACCTCCTTGAATCAAAAGCGTGCCATCCTCGACGGAGTGCGCACAAACGTAAAAAATGCCGTCCACCGCCGGCGTCCTCCGCGGGGCCGTCGCAGCTGTCGACACGGTCCGTACGTAGCAATATCTTTTTTCGATCGGAGCTTCGCGCATATGGCGAGAGGCGGCTCCGATCTACAGGGCGATTCAAGGAGAGGCCAGGTTCTTTAAGAGGCCAGGTTCTTTAAATCGACCACAAAATTGGGTTTCTTAACCTATCGCGCTACGACTTTGTGCAGCGTTGCCCACAGATGGTGCATTTGTTTTTTTTTTTTGTTTTTTTTTGTAAACGTTGCAAAGAGCGAACTTACCTGAGGAAAAAGTAAAAAAAGAAAAAGGCTTAGCTCCTATGGAAACGCAGCGACGAACCGGTCTTCAAACAACACGGCGCCGTTTAGCACGGGATACAAGAAATGGCGCAACGAACACCGCCAACGAACGAGCATACGGCGCCGAGAGCCGGCGTCTTTAGCAGACGATATTTTCGACTCAAAAGCGGCGTGCGTTCCGCAGGCGGCGACAGTCGCAGAAACAAAACAAAAAAGGCGCGGTAACAACAGGGAACTGTAGTTCCTTGTCTGCTAAAGACGCCGGCTCTCGGCGTCGTATGCTCGTTCGTTGGCGGAAGTTGGCGTCGCGACCGCTTGCGCCATTTCTTGTCTCCCGTGCGAAACGGCGCCGTGTTGTTTGAAGACCGGTGGCGTCGCTGCGTTTCCAGGAGCTAAGCCTCTTTCTTTTTTTACTTTTTCCTCAGATCAGTTCGCTCTTTGCAAATTTTACAAAAAAAAAAAAAAAAAATGCCCCATTTGTGGGCAACGCTGCACGAAGTCGTAGCGCGATAGGTTAAGAAACCGAATCTTGCGGTCGATTTAAAGAGCCTGGCCTCTCCTTGAATCGCCCTGTAAAAAAGGACGCGTCCAGGGAAGCCTCGACCGCTTTCAGCGGGCTCGATAAACATGTGCCCGTGACGACCCGCGTTATCTTTTTTTTTTTCATGTTATTTGTATGAGTTCATATATAAGAAAGATGCGGATATAGTGAAGCAATGTCTAATTTCCCTCGACTTCACTTTAACCAGTCGCGACATATTCAAATTTAAAATATGGGAATTATGACCATAACTTAAACGCAAAAATAATATCGGGGTATCAGACGTAAAACACATTTTCACGATAAAGTATTTGGCAGTTACCATAGTGACTAGCAACTTAACAACCGCAAAGCTATGTGAGTCAACACCTCCCAGATGAGGAGCCTAAAAGCATCTTATCATCGCTGCGTAGCCAATGAGATTGGGACATTAGTCGATAAGAACTTTGAAGAGCGTATCAGGAAACGAGGAGCGTTGGCGTGAACATAATACGTTACTTGGCTCGTGTTTAATAGACTGTCAATGATTACACCATACAGGAGTAGCAGCGACCAGGGTCAACCCATAAAACGTACACTTATTGAAAGTTCGCAGCTTAGTTAGTCACTGAAAAAACTGATGTGCTCAATAAACTGAACATATATGTACGTCCAGCGAACACCTTTCTAAGCACTATTTAGTTGTATTTTAGTGCACTAAACACGTCATAGAGAGAGCGAGAAAGGCAACGATGGCACTGATACAGGCCGAGAGAATAAATATGTTACATTCTTTTTCGTGCAACATAGACTAAAACAACGCACAAATCATTCAAAATTCGGTAGTGCGAAATGAACAAACCTGGCAAAAAAAAAAAAATGTGATTCGACTGAGTCTATTTTTGCCACCAATTGGTTGAAGCTCGCTCACGTCAAAAGCGAACATTTCGGGGAATTCTGCTTGTGATATTAAACAAAAAGCCAAGAGTAGCCTAACGTACCAAACATTAAAGGCCTACCTACGAATTCGGGTTCTGCAGGGAAGAAAACCGGTCCCCAGTTTTCTCCTCTCCATTCCCTCTCGCACCCTTCTTTCCTCCTCTCCCTAAAGGAGCGGGACTCTGAGCTATCCCCCACAGAAAGGAGGAGTGTCTTCATCTTTCTCTGTAGAAAAACTTGTAGTGGGGTTAATTGGTGAACCTTATCAAGCATGGTGTTAGGCGTAAGAAACAACGCACACAAGGAAGAGGACGCAGACACTGGCGTATGTGTGTGTCTTCCTTATGTGCGTTGTTTTTGGCGCCTCACACCATGCTTCATATCCCTGTTTCTCGAGCGGAGAGAAGGAATTGGGCAAGAATTTCCTCCGTTCTGGCTGCTCGTCGGCCTTTAAAGCGTTGTTTTTAGGGTATTCTTTCTGAGTTGTCTGACCAGTCTGACCTAGTAGACGTATGGTTTGGAAATTCCCATTCGCATGTCCTCCAGAATGCCAAGGAACTTTCCCAGCAAGTCCCCCTTTCTTGTTCGCAGTGCAAACTCTTCACCCAGCGTGAACATTTCCGTCCACACCTGACACGGACCAAATCGTACCGGCAAGTGCGCCGCCCCCGGCGACGATTAGCCCGACCCGGAACCCCGGTAGCGCGGTCGGCAAGGACCGCTCGGAGCACGAGCTTCGCCCGAGCTGCAGCGGCGGTCGCCGTCTCCCCTCCACCCCCGCAGGGACCGAACCCGCCTCGCAGACCATGAAATCCCTGCATCCCGAGGTCTGCCCGGACCCGCTGCGAGAGCTCAGCCCCATCATCTACTATGTGCAGAGCATGAGAGGTGCGTCACGCTCCAATCCTTCTCTGAAACCTTTGTGCGCTACAATTTTGTGAATGAACGCTAACCGTCCTGGTAGTACTTTTAGCCGGGTGTCGCTATGAGCCGCCGATGTTTTGCGCACCATCTATTAGCCGTGCATCTGGAGATTTGGCGAAGGGAAGACAAAACGAGCACACACACACGAAGAAAAGTTTGTTATCGGTAAAGAGCATTATATTCAATAATGTGAACCCGTGCGTTTAATTAGCCATGGCTCCTCCTGGGCCATGTGAAAATTTGTTTGTGCCCAGAAACCAGGTGGAAAGGGACTATCCATACTAACGATGTCAAGCACAAGCAAGGACAGGGGTACCAACTCTTAGCTTCATAAATTAGTTGCTTCCAGTGTACGAGCTCGCACGCTCAATCAGCTCCTGGACTTGTCACTCTTAGCTCCATTGTAACCACTCTTAAGCCAATAGTAACACACTCTTGTGTTAAGAGTACTCGGCGTAAGCCATTGTCCATCTGCGAGATGGCTATAACCTAAGAAGTGCAAATCTTACACAAACTAGTTTCAATGGTAAATCATTCTGAGCAACGCAGCACGATGCGTATCATTAACTGTGTTAATAAACCTTACATATTCCTTATTAGTTCCACTGGATCACATCATTGCCATTTTTAGTGACTTAATCAGCTCGAAGTATCTCGCCATGGTAGCGAAAGAAAGATCACGAACAGAGAACGTGGATATAGCTTATCGGCTGCCCTTTATTGCGTCTTAAGTACAATTTGCACAAAGTTGCAAGACTGCTTATAAATCCGTTGAGTATTACAGACTCACAGCCAAGCACTAGTGAGCTTTTAAATAATTCATAACGGGAGTTGTGACGCCCATGAAAAACGAATGTTACCTTTCAGACTAGCCTACGTTACTATGCGAAGAGAAAGTCGTCTGCTTCTTTAGCAGGGTTTGCGGTGACGCAAGAACGACGCCGAGTTTTGATTGGCTTTTATTGGAAGGATAGCGGGTAGACCTAAATGCTAGACGCCTTGAGGTCTACCAGCTATTTTCTTTTTCCAATCAGCCAATGAAAGCTCGGCGTTTTGACCTCATTGCAACCCTTGTGCAAGAAGCAGATGAACGTGCGCTCCGTATTGGGTGGCGATAGACTGGCTCACTTTAGAGTAATCCAGCAGGCACAAGGTGTTGGCCCGGGAGGAACTCCGCTTCCATATATGTTTCACCATTTCCGAAGCTTTTTTTTTTTTTTTTTTCGTGGGCAATTTTTTGAGTTTTCGAATATCATCCTATGTGTTGTTCCTGAAATGTCTTCACTTCATCAGTTCCCTGGATGCCGAGACGCAAGTGGGGCGCGGTTCATTGGCCGCTGGTAGCAAAGCCCGGTTAGTGAAGCCTCCTTAAGCAGGAGTGCGCGAACAGCAGTTTGAATCAAATGGGGCTTCGGCACTCATAGCTTCCAAAAACACAAACTATAGGCCACTTGGGGCGCCTACGTTGAAATTGGCGGGAGCTATGAGCGCCGCAACGCTATTCGAAACCGATCACTAATCGCACACGCCTCATCATATCATGCATACGCATGACATCAACAACATGCATGCTTATTTGAGATAACATCAGCCGACTAGCTAAAATCTTCGCAGTGTCCTTATACTGAATATTATCTTTACTGTTTTTTTAGATCCCAGAAGAAGGTTTAGCTTCACTTACCTTATTATTTTATGAGATGCGCCTCCCATAGCTGTAGTACCAGTTATAATATTGCAGTGAAATTATAGAACACAGGAAAAATCGGGAGCTTCAAGCGGGTTCATGGTCTATCTTAAGCTATCCGCGCTTTTTTTTTTTTTAATACAAATCTAACTTTTGTTTTCATGACACAGCTGTTGAATCTTTCTTAAATGGATGCTGAACTGAAATCTGGATTCCACAAAACACGGCACTAAAGCGTGCTACGGGATGCTACGAACACCAAAACGTCACTCATACAGCGATATCTTAAACGGATGACCGTATTTAAAAAAAAAAAAAATAAATAAAGAAGGAGGCTTATTTGGCAAATATGTTTACGTATTATTTCTCCGAGAAGGAGAATTCTCGTGTTCTGCACCTCGCCGCCTTGAGGGGGCAAAGCGAAGAGAGGAGGAAAAAAAGATACCTTGACGGTCACGCGCCTTGTCGGCCTCGTTCAATCTCGACCTCTTTTTTCCAAAAATACGGCCGTCCATTTGAGATATCGCCTCACGAGTAGTGTTGTAGAGATTGTAGCACCCCGCCTACAGCTCCTGCATTGTTTTCTGAAATCCAAATTTCGCTTCACCATCCCTTTACGGACGCGCTCACACTAAAAAATTCACAACAACCAAAAAAAAAAAAACGTATTTACCTATTTTGGGGTGCATACCACATAAACGTAAAGGGAGTATTCGACCATACAGCTACATTCACAACCACCCTCCGAGTGTGATTGAACCCTGAATATGGACGCGTCCCCATTCACTGAACGAGTTCGCTGCTTGCAGTGTACGCGGAGGCACTGTTCTCACTTATCTTCTCTAAAAAAAGACAACCGGAATTTTATCAGCTGGGCGTTGATGAACAACTATGAGAAGTTTAATTACCATCGACACTCGCTCAGCAGCAACAGATTCAGCTACGTCGACCAGTCAATATTTCTCAGCATGTACACTAACGCTTTAATCCCAATTTGGGCGGTCCGCAAAAATCAGTTTCTCAACGTATCGCGCAGAGATTTACGACAGAGGTGCAGCTGGGTGATGCACGCGTGGAGCCACAATATCAAGATATAAACTTACCTGGTTCAAAAAAAAAAAAGAAGTACCGGTTACGGGCAATTTACAGCTCCATTTACCGGGCGACGCAGACGGTTTTCGTTGACTTGAAGACGCTGTCGACAGGCGGCGTAGGCATCTAAGAGGTGGCGCGCAGATTCGGGCTTCAATAGGACACGATCTAGCAAACGTTTTTTTATGCATGCGCCATCTGTAGGCAGCGTCTTCAAGGCTGAGTTCCAAATATTTCCCAAATAGATCTCAGTTACCCTTGGGGCCGTGTTCCAAAATTTACTCAACCCTACTCCAGGGTAGGGGTTTTGTACCTTGGCGTTCGAAAACCTACCCGCGTGCAGCTTTGCTTCATCTGTATTGTCGCGTAACACGGTCCGCCTGAGTAACTTGGATTCATTTAGGTAAGATTTGGAACACAGCCTAAGTAAACAAACACCGTCTGCGTCGCCAGAGAAATGGCGCCGTAGATTGCCAGAAACAGGCTTCCTTTTTGACTTTCTGGAACGAGGTAAGTTAATCCGTTGATATATTAATATTGTGCGTGCACCCCCTAGCTGTACCTCTATAGCAAATCCCAGCGCGATACGTTGAGCAGCCGATTTTTGCGGAGATTCCAAAATGGGATCGAAGCGTTAGTGTACAGAATGTCTTCCCGAAAAAATGGATGGTTTTACGCATCGATGAACGCTCATTCTCCGCCAAAAGGTAGTGCTAGAAGTCTGAACCAGAGGTCAAAGTTTCAGCCCGAACCGATATTTTAATCAAAGGTTATACGTGACTTTCTGAAAATTTTAATGGGATAAAGGCAGCCAACGGAGCTTTCAAATACATGAAGCTCTATGGCGCTAGAAACCGAAAACGGGAGAAAATGGGGTCTATTTTTCCAGAACTTTTCAGAAAATACCTTAACTTTTGAATAAGATATCGGTTCGGGCTGAAGCTTTCGCATCTGTAGTGGTTCGGACCTCTAGCGCTGCCTTTAGGCGAAGAATGAGAGTTCGGCAGCGCCTACTAAATTTTTTTTTTGCGGTAAAAGAAAAAAAAACAAAGGGAAAGCACTAAGTTTTTTGGGATTTTTTTGCCCCCCCCCCCCCCCCAGAAAAAACAAAAAAGCTTACAGTTTTTTTTCTCTCTTGTCTTGGTGGGAGTGGGGGTGGCATCCTTTACATGCTGCACTATGTCAAGGTATTGATAGGTTCCGCCTTAAAATGATGGCTGGTGTTTTCCGTGTAGACGGGTAATTTAGCCATCGCGGAACGACTGCAAAGTTGGAGTTCTCAACTTTCATCACACTGTAGTGAGCGTAGTATACAGGTCGGTAAAAATTAGTCGTACGTGTGTCTTTTTGCTAAGCCTGGTTGGCGGCCGGTGAAAGGCAACTTTGGAGTCGATCCAACTTCGCTAACCTAAACTGTTTTGTCCGTTTTTTTTCCTTTGAAGCTGCGCTGTGGTATGCGCCCAGTGTTTGCCTCTGTGTGTGTGCCAAAGTGAGTGCGTTCTCCGCGCACTGGCCCCGTTCCACTGGTCTGGAGCGGGGCCGTGGGCGCGTTGCGTACCTGATACATTGTTCCTGTTCCAGTGTGTCCGCTACATGTGTAATGTCCACCCGTTTAGATCAGCCCGATGACAGCTCCAACGCCAGCAAAAAGCCCCACATCAAATCCAGCGCATTCAAAGACTTGAAAAATGAGAGTTGCGTCAAAAGCGGGGTGAGTGAGCGCACGATCCACAACTTTTTAATCCCTCTTTTTTCCTGTCGTCGCTTCGCTTTTTCACTCGTTACGAACGACCTGACTTGGAAAATTTGAATCTTTGTTTTTCTGTTCTTCACATCGCAATACCTTTGTTCGTGATCCTTCCATAGACCTTATTAAGATCAGCGCTAGGAAGCAAAATCCTTCCCGTTTTTGTTGACCAATAACGTTTAGTCGTGTGTAATATCCCCTAACGTCGAACTCACTTTATACTCACGTAATGTCTTTTCGGTTTATTTGGCGGTTTTAAGTTACACCTTCAATTTTACTTCGTGAAATTTTCCTACTTGAATTTTTGGCTTAAATTCAGGCAAAACGATTTTTTTTTCTTAACTTGTCCTTTTATTGTATTTAACTATTATACAACACACTCGAATCTTCAAGGTAAAAAATTATCAGTAAAAAATTTACCAGGGGTGCATATGGTGGACCTTTTGATTTCTAAAATCAACTCGCCAATATGTGTCCATTGTCTGCGTATACTTGTATTATTACAATTACAAAAGTGCCTACGGGATACCTACATTCAAATCCTTTCAATTAAAACGCACATTTGGGTTACAGAAACCAGGCAGAAGCTAACATATCCTCAGATATTTCGCTTACTTCAAATTCTTCAAGTGCTCCGTCACTTACAAATCACATGAGAATTAAAAATGTACTCTTTTTCCTTTTTTTTCTTGCGTTTTTTACCTTGTTTTTTGCGTGATATCAGTGACCGACGTCACAAATGCAAGAATAAGAGTTAAAATTATTTTCTTGCTTTATAGGTCGACGTAAAAAAGCGAAATGGCCGAAAAAAAAGGGCACGCGAGCGACCTAAGAGGAAGTGGATTTACCCACTGGTAACTGAGATAAAGTCACGCTTGAACTCGAAGCATGATAATAGAGGTGGTCATGTTTTGACATTCCTAACTTACAAGTGCAGTCTGTCGTATTTTCTTGAGATTCGTTGTGAACACTTGAGCCGCGGATCACTCTGGTAATACCTAATACATTAACGTCAGTCTGCAAACACTGCCTGAGGCGTGTCTCATCCTTGTACAATGGTCACATCGGTCATACAAAAACGTCTGCAGACATGTTCGAAGCTAAAGCATATATGCTTCGAATATGCTTTAAGCGTGTCCGCGGATATTTCTGTCGTCACGTCTGCGGCGAACACCGCGACCAAAAACCCGGCGGTGTCTGTCAGTTTGTCAGCGCCGGGGAGAGAGGGAGAGGCTGACGCGTGCTGACGTCAGCGCTTCGGACCAATAAGAGCGCCGAACGCGTCACCCTCTCCCCCTTGTTCTCATTCTCTCCCCCGTCGCTGACAGACGAAAGACACCGCCGGGTTTTCGACAAAACGTGCGTTCTAATGCTAACGCGTTAAAAATAAATGACTTACACTTAAGAAACTTAGAGCGTCTACTTTTCTGCAACAGCACTTGTAAGAGGCAACTAATCGCTGCAATCTAGGGATGGATCTCACCAAAATAAGAAGGGCTGAAAATATGTTTAGTCCTAAATAAACTCTCTCTGCATTCTGGCACTGAGGATGGTTAAAAGTGCCACAGCGTATAAACTGTTTTTTACTCCTGATTTTCTTGTCGCATATATATTTTTTTTTCAGCACTAGTTGTTTGTTTTATTACATCCCCAGAAGGCCGAGTGAGTTTCACACCGTCAGACACTACAGCTATTTTGTTTTGTTTTCTTTCTAACTGGGTCCGAAAGAGGGCCAGTGCAAAAGGCTAAGAAGCCTGACGAGACACTGGAGATGGAAGAAGCACTCAGCTGAAAGTTACGAACTCATAGTGGTCGTCGTCTTTCTTATAAGATATAACACAAATAACAAGAAAACAAATAATGCAAAATACACGAGATACAGGCATATTTGAATATATGGACGAAAACAAAATAACGTTAAACCTCTAAAAGCATAAAACAACGAAATTTCACACGTTATAGTTTATTTATAAATACAATGTGGTTTCTTACTTATTAAAATTTGGTATGGCTGCCTACCAGTAGGGCTCCGCAATATATTGTTTTTTTAATACTATAAATGATTTTGTATAGTTCATATCAAGTGTGTTATTAATTAATTTAATTATGTAATATTTCGAACTCCACTGTCCGAAATTAAATTCTGTACTCCACTTAAACCCTCTCGGTGTCATTTTTGATCGAGTAAATGTCCCATTCAGGACGGCTTCTGCCTGGCCGTATCGCTACAAGATGGCACCATCATCTACGTCTCCAGCACCATCACTCCAATTTTGGGCTACTCTAAGGTACGCGCTGTTACCTTACCCTCTTTCCTGTCAAGTTGCCAACGATCTATCTAACTGTAAAATTGCTCGGCAGCATTGAGACGAATGCATTCACCGCCTAACTATCAAACGTTCATTCTGCCGTTTCTGTAGGATATGTTGCTGGGACAATGCATAATGAACTTTCTCTACCCCCGAGATCGAATAACGTTTGCCAATCATCTCAGCCAAGGTCTCAACTCCAGATTCAACGAAGACGCCAAAGGTACGCAGTGGCCGACAAGTTGCGCGAAACGTTCCATTTCTTTCGCCTAAATGTATCTGAAAGAGCAGGTACATGAATCTTTTGTACTCGAAGCAGAATGCACACACTTCAAAAGTCGTGGTTTCGTGCGTTACGAAAGACATAACGCATCATTAGTGGCCTTAACAAGTCGCCGAGCCCTGGCTCTAAAACACAACCCGTCTCTTTGGTGTATCAGGAGGGCGCCCAACATGCGTAGTATGTTTAGGTCTTCCGTTACGTCGCCGTGTCATGTGACCACCTGACGGGATGATGTCACATGACGTAACAATATCAGGCCTTGTCAAGGTGTCATGTAAAAAAATTAGAAACCGAGATTTCCCTCTCTTAAGCCTCGTCAGCGTTTCAGCACCACGGGCAGACACTAACTGTTGCCAGCACCGTGACGTCGTCAGTGTGACGTCACCATCAAGGCCACATTCTGGTCGCGGGCACGGGAACCCGAAGAGCTGGCCCTATAGATGCTATGCCTTTAAGATTTAAACTGTATAAGTCGATACTAAGCATTTGTCAAAACGCAATTCTCATTCCTTTTTTTTTCTAAATACGACACGCAATAGTCCTTTTTTGATAGTCCATCGGGCAACAATGATGGTCGCCATTTCTTGGGCACGAAACAAGTGATTCGATCCGAGGGCTCGCCGAACGCTGACGCAAGCATCGTGTCCATTACATGCTCAGAGTCCGTGATCAAGCAATGGCAGACAGGCGATGGCGCGGACTTTTGAAAAGGGTACTGTTGGGCAAGGACGTTCGTGGCATATTTTGATTGGTTCCTTAGTGTGGTCTTGGGGAAGGAAATAAAGTGGCTTTTTTCTTGCGTAGGCTAATTAGTTTTAGCACTGACACGCTATTTAAACAAAGCGAGGAATAACCTAATCATAGGGTGATCCAAAGATTTCGGGGAAATAAATCGAAAATATATTTCTTTTTCTTTTTTCTTGTAGGGATGTGCCACAACAGGAGCCAAAGCACATTTCTGTGTAGACTCAGGTAAGCGCAGGACTCGACTTTACATTTTTATCTTTGATTACAGAGGAGTTGTCATAATGATAACTATATACACTCTTAAAAAAGCCCGTACGTATACTTTCCCGCACAGCACTAGGAGAGCCAATCACCGCAACTTACAGAAGCAGCTCAGCGAAGGACGATGCCGCAACAAATGTTTAGACCAAAAAACGCAGTCTGAGTTGTGACATTAAGCAATGCCAGCGTAAAGTTTTGCAATGCTTAATGTCACAACTCAAAGCGCGTTTCTTTTTTTTTTTTTTTTGTCTAAACATATGTTTCGGCATCGTCATTCGCTGAGCTGCCTCTGTGAGTTGCGGTGATTGGCTCTCCGAGTGTTGTGCGAGAAAGGAGACGCACGGACGTTTTTATAGTGTATAGTTACTGACACGTTAAGAAGCAAAGGGGTGTCTCTTAATATATTTACGCTTTGCATTTCGTGATTGTTCCTTCGGCGTGCTTATCGGCCACCGACGTAACCAGGGATTTTTTTTCTTTTTCTTTTTTTGAGGGGGGAAGGTGGAGGGGGGGACGGTCAAAATGCATGGGCTAGATTTCGGGGTTGGGGGAGGGGGGGGGGGGCTGAAAAGCCTTCCCCTGGCTACGCCGCTGTTTGGCTACGGGGTGATAACAAGAGATCCGGGAACAAGAAACGCTCTGTGTCTCCTAAGCTGTCAGTGGTCACAGCTAGATTATTGTTTTGTTTTAGATATAAGGAAATAAATAGCCTCTGAGCTGAAGTAACATAGCCTATTTATTGGTAACGGTTTCTAACCTCTTCCAGAAAAGGAGGTTGACATCACTCCGACCACCTAGGTATTTCTACGTGCAGGTTTGGTAGCAGATAAAGGATGGTTGTGGTAGCACAAAACTGCACCGGACATAACCGATTTTTGTGTAAAATAGACTACATAAGTAGCCTATGCATTAATCTGGAGATCACAATATTTGTAAGATGGAACACGTTTCTATTTTTTTTTTCTATGCGCAGGTGTAAAAATACAGATGTAGGGAAGCGTTCACTTAAATATATACGTTACATTATGTGAATTAGCATGTAACAAAATTAAATGTGTCAAATATGAAGTCGCGTGACCTTAGCCGTTAAACTTGTACTGTTTAACAAGTTTACGCTTTTATTTACCCTTGTGAAGCAGCGATTTTTTTTAATTACGTTTATTACGTTTGTAAAACTAATATATGTATAAGTCATTTAAAACTGTTCGCAACTGTATCATCAAACAGCGTTTTTTATTTTTATTTTTTTAACATTAGGCAGTATCAAAGCCTCAAGTTCGGCTACGGCATCTCGGACAAGAAAGTGCAATACAAGCCATTCCAAATGTCCGTCTACATCAAGGACGTGATTGTGGACGACGTGAGCGTGGAGAACGCGTCAACCGCCATGTGCCTCATCGTCACAGCCGTATCCATACAGACGGCTTACCGAGGTACGTGTCTTCAGCATTCCTGGGGGACACTATAACGCATCGATCTTGAACAAAGCGTTGCGTCTTCAACCTGAAGTAAGTCACTAACGCGACCATCTTTTTTTTTACATGTTTATTTCGCAGTGCCCAACGAAATACCGGCCATGACGTGCTTTTCAACGCGGCACACGGCCTCTTGTCACTTCAGCCACGTGGATCTCAGGTGACTATAGAAAATTGTAAACGCGTCAATTTAGTCGAGATGTTAAATCAGTTTTGGCTACACATTCAGCTGGGTTAAGCACTTAGAAAGCAATATACCTGAACAAAACTGTAGAGCTAGATTTTTTTTTTAGGTAACTTATCGGATGCCGAACCGGACACAGAATGGCACCAGTGTTCCGTCAGAGTTCGGCTGGGGCTATTGTTCAGACATTGAGAATACGGGCTCCAGACGCACACTGACGCGGACCTCGTGTGACGATTTCCACAACTGGATTTAGAAACAGGATACATTTCTAAATGCCAGCCATAACATAGTACGTGCTAAAAAAACTTTAAAAAATTCACTGTGCGTATTTTGTTTTTCTTAAAAAAATAGCCCCTCATTCCGCATTTAAATTTGTCGCATTTTATTAAGGTGATATGTCGGTGCACATGAACATTAAGGTACTTACAACGATTCTCTGCTTTACTGTTATTTCAGCGCGGCGGTGTACCTCGGCTACCTACCCCAGGACATGCTAGGCCACTCGGTCTTTGACTTCTACTGCATGGAGGACTTAAGTCAGCTCAAGGACATCTACGAACTGGGTAAGGACATTTCGTAAAACATACCAAGATTTTCTTATCCCCTGGACACATGGACGTATACAAATTTTAAAGTGTCAATCCTTGTATTGGACCGCAAGTCACCTATAGTTATGAGTTGCTGGATACATGTTTTGTGTTGTTGCGTTTCTTGATACAGTGATAAAAGAACAGGGTCACTCCTTCCGGAGCAAGCCCTACCGGTTCAAAGCTTTCAATGGAAGTTTCGTCATCCTGGAGACAGAGTGGTCTTGTTTCATCAACCCCTGGACACGCAAGCTGGAGTTCGTTGTCGGTCAACATCGTGTTCTCAAGTGAGTTGGGAAGCGAATGGATTCACAAATGCCATATCTTGTTTTCGAAAGTAAATGCGTTTCAATGGCGGCACGAGTAGACCCATGGAAACGGCAGCACTTGATGCACGTCATCCGTGTGCACAACGGTGACCGAGTGCATTCGTAGCTATTTTCCCTTTCAAGACCTAGTTCATTTCACTCTGAACCCCCCAACGCTCTGTTCAATGCAGTCATATTTTGGAAAGGCTCCGTGGTACACGTGACTTGCACGTAACATCATCGTATCACTCTGGAGGTCTTTTCTACTCGTTCTTGTCGACAAAAACAAGATTAATTGTGCGAGATGGTAGGCTGCAAAAATGTACGTGCTCAGCAGAAAAGTCACCCCGACTGCTGATGCTACAAGTCAGCGTAATCGCCATGTATATGTTTTAACTTACCACTGTCTTTAAAAAGAAATTCTGCAAAAGCATATTTGATGTGCCCCTAGCTTTGAGGCTTCTACAAATCTAAAGCGTCGGTGTAATAAAAGTATGAACAGCGCAACCTGTAGTAACTTGTGCTAACTGCCATCATCCGTCGGGTGTCTTGGCTTTAGGGGTCCCAAGATTCCGAACGTGTTCATGGAGGCTTCTCGCGACAACCCGGAGATTCGTCCGCCCAGCGAGGAGGTCCTCAACAACAACAGGCATCTCCAGGAGCAAATCAAGGACATTCTGTCCCAGGTATAAGCGCAGGGTCATTTTGCACTCACTCAAATATGTGAGAGAGCACACCGTTAGCATTGAATGGGATCTGATTAATTAGTAACAGCACATAGTGAGTGTGTTTCTTGATAAAATGACTGAATTATTGGATTCACCTTGCACATTAACTAATCGGGAAACATGCAAAATTGAAAAAATAAGAAGTTATAAAATTGTATTATTTTTCTAATAAACAAAGTATATTACGTTTATATAACAAATTATTTTTCAGCGTCACAAGATGCATTAACTAATAATGACAGTTTTTTACTTAATACGTACAGGGCGCGGTACTGAGAACACCCACTACAGTATACAAAATATCTTCATCTCTCCAAATTTTAAAACGCGATAAAAGTACGGTAAAAAAAGTTACAACGTAACAGAACCAAAAAGCACGTTTCAAAACGTGGGATATGTTTAAGTTGCATTATATTGGTTAGGTGTAACTTTACTCAAGCATGTTTAGGTAGAGGGGTATTATAGCACTTTTCAAATGTTATGAAAACGGGCCGCCTCAGTGGCTCCGAGGCAAGGCGCCGTCCTAAAGATCCCCAGTTGGCGGGTTCGAATCCCGCCAACTGGGGATCTTTAGTGCCAGATGCCTTTTTTGGTTTGGCACGTAAAACACTCAATTTTCAATTTCCGCGTAGAGGGACGAGCGGTCGGCCTGTCCTCGTCGCTTTCCGTAAAAAAAATAATGTCACGCTTTCAAAACCATTCCGCGTCGTTTGGCAGCGGTCTGAACGGCGCAAACGTTTGCTTGCGCAGCCGGTGAAGCCTCGGGAGAGCAACCACCTTCGGCAGCGGTCGAACAAGAGACGCAAGGAGCTGGCCTCCTTCGTCAGCACCCTGGTGGACGAGATGTCCCACAAGCGCATCGACAAAGGTACGGTTACTTAATTCGCTTCGCTAAAGGCTCCGTTATACTCCGCCGACCAACGAGAGGCGAACGTGCGCCTTTCATTGGCCGGCGAGCAAAAACTCGATATCTGCGACCAATCAGTATCATGCGTGCTCTGTGCTCCGGCGCATTTGATACGCTCAACCGCGGAGTATGATGCGGCTTTGGATTCGAGTCAATAACCTTAAAATCTAACCCATATTTGTTTTGTTTTGTTTTTTTTTGTTTTTTTTCACGAATGCAGGAGAAGAGCAAATTGCGATCGAAGGATGTACGTGTTCCGTAAGTATACTCTTGAACTATTCTCAATCTGAAACAGACTGGGCATGTCTGGTACAACAGAAGAAGCCATACGCTTCGAAGCAACATCGCTTCAACCATCTTACCGCTTCAAATTTTTGTGCCAGTTTTACCTTAAGCTTTATCTAAAATCAGCAATAACTGTCTTCTGTCCTCCAGAAAGGATAAAACAGTCCGCGACACAGCAATTCGATATCTCCCGAGCTTCCTGACAGCGTATGTAAAGCTCAAGAGGTTGCATTTTCAAATCGTATCAGTCACCAATATACCATTTTCAAAAGTCCGCTCTATCGCCCGCCCGCCCCTGCTTGATCACGAACTCTGAACATGCACTAGGCACGAGGGTTGCCTGAGCGTTCGACAAGGAGTCGTATCCAATCACACGCAACGTGACCACAATAGATGGTTGTATGGATGATTGGTAATGGCTATACCTTTTGTAACGGGCGGTAGCTTGCGCCACCTAGCTTAAGAGTAAAAAGACAAGCATATGATACCTCCCGCGCTTCTAAGCCCATTTTCTCCCCCTAACTACCACCAGAGAGTGTGGGATATCACCAGAATGACCTTTGAAGGATCGGGTAAAAAAAAGAAAAATCAAACCTGCCTTTTCCTTTTGGCAAGGGAGTCGCCAGTTTTCCTCTGGCTTACCAAGTAGCGGTGACAGCCAATGTTGCTTGACGGACTTTTGAAAGGGTCTATTGGAAACGGTGGCGCAGTCGCAGAAATCGCAGTATAGAGTGCCGATACACTAAAGCAGCGATCCCACAGCTAATACATTTTACAAAGGACAGCCTGCAGATACTGACCGAGGTGTGCCTTCCTCGTAAAGTTGGTTAAGGTACTTTTAAAAACTACTTGAACTAAACTACGCATTAAATGAGAGATTATCTACTTCAAGGGAAGTAGTTAGTACCCTGGGCGCAATGTGTTAAGAGTAAAGTGCTATAAATGCAATGTACTGTGCGCCCCAAACTTAACACCGCCACAAGATGATCCGCTTTCTTCACTTTAAACTACTTCTGAACATCGCGGTCGGACTAATTGGTGAAGATTTGCGTCCCCGACGAAAACCCAACCAGGGGAAAGTATTCCAGCAGCTGCAGTGACCAATTTACCTTTGGGTAGCGTAGCATGCGGTAAAAATCGATCAATATTTCCGTAACCGAGTGGCGGTGTTAAGTTTGAGGGGCACTGTACCTTCAAAGTAACGTACAAGGGCCGTAGTCGGGGAATACACCAGTTATCTTCGGATATGGCGGCGAATATCGATTAAATAAGGTGGATTCAAAAATTTTACAAACCATCATTTTGTGATACAAATTTAACGAGACCAGATTCGAAAACCCTACTTTGAAGTCGTGAGTTGTACTTTCCTCTGAAAGTCCCTAGAAAAAAGTGCTTTAAGTAAAGTACAAGTACATACTCGTATAACGTACTGCAAGTAAAGTATATTCTAAACCTCCTTCAAGTAGTCTTTTAAGTACAATATATGTAAAAGTACTACTTCCCAACACACGCTTCCTTGCATGCTGATTCTGTCACGTTGGTCATAGCAAAAACAATGTCACCAGACATGTTCTTTCGACGTATGCATATGTGCGAGGCCAAGATGCTTCCAACATACCTGAGGCGTGTTCGCAGAGCAGCGTGACTTCAGCTTTAGTGTAGTTTAGTTAGTGGCCCGAGTCACGGTGAAGTAGTTTTCTTTTTAAATTGTTTTTATTAAACAACTGCATTTTATTGTCGCGGTCAGGATCCACCTAGGTTTTTTGACTGAAGCCATTCTTTTTCTAAAGTTATAGGATATTCACATACGTTATTTTATTTCTTCCGATTTGGGGGGGGGGGGGGGGGGGGGGAGGTAAAAGCGCTAAAAAAACAACGGAAAAGTGAAATGAACGAAAAACACAGAGCGTTCTTATTTGTTCGTGTCTTTCACTTGTCCGTTGTTTTTTTAGCGCTTTTACCCTAGTAATTATGAATCACCAACTAGCTCAAGTGCATGCCCTTATTTTTTTCTTCTTGATGCCGGTTATAACTCTATTTGGTTCCTTGTAGCCTCGGAGTTACTCATTCGTGGATTTTTCCACTACAGGACCAAGGATCTGTGGTCATGGGAGAAATTTCGCCGCATCAAGAGCTTCACGACTCGGACCCATCGAGTGAGTCCCCGCCCAACATCCAGGAAATACGGTACCAGGAGAACATTGAGAGGTAAAGACAAAACGCATGAAACTTAATCATCCCAGCGCAAATATTTTTTTTTTCCGTCTTAACTAATCACTTTTTTGTGAAATATCGATCTCTCCAGGTTCTTTGCGAGCCATCCCAAAACCAACCTGTCTGAAAGTCCCGGGGAAATAAAGCTCGACAACGTCCAGATTGAGCACGAGAACAGAGACGAAGAGAATTGCAAAGCAACTGGTGAGAACCTAGAGAATTCAGTTTGCGTTCGTCATAAAAGTATGGATACGCGGAGAGTTAGCACTTCTACCATGTCATGTACTAGCGAAATATCAACGCCGCGATATAGCTTAGATGCAGCGATGATATCAAGCGTACGGCGACAGTGGGGATATCTTGTGACCGTACTCAGAAGCGCCATCCGGGACCAAATGCAAGTACATATGTACAGAATACCTCGTATCCTTCCTTTCCCCGCCGTAATGGCTACAAAATACCATGTTAAAGTCGCCTGATGAGTGGCGTTGATTTATGACGGCGTTAAGGTGACATTAGGTTTTCCAACCAGCTGGTTCTAAATATATATGCATCTAGTATATTTTTACTCTGACCCAAAACTTACTGCATGTGCTCAGAGATAAACACGTTCGAGCCCACATAGTTTCGTTCAACCCTTTTTTTCTATTGTTGCACAAGGACACGTTGTATCTGCCCCTTTTTTTAAAACGAAATGTTTCCCTCAGCATTGAAAAGAAAACGCGCTGCAAGAACGGCTGGGTTATATCATAGCCTATGGTTATAGTAAATATGTGCTGCTTAGTCACTACCTCATTTACGTTCGTACTCCCTCTCAGCACATAATGTGGATGGCATCTAAACGTCTTCGGTTCTCACTCCAGTGACGAAACCAGAAGTCGCGAGTGCCTGCCAAACTCTGACGCAGTGCTCTTCTCCTCCCCGATTCCACATGAGTGCCATCGCGCGTATTGCTCCAGTAGATGCGAATTACTCCCGCGGTTCATAACGCGACGAGCTACTCCTAACACCCACAGGCCTTCAGCGTTCCCGCTGAACGTGCGCACTCTGCAATTTTTTTTTCCGCTCCGGTGCGCTTTCTGAATATGTTAAAGTACGGTTAGAATCACTGGATCCTGTGAAAGCAGTGCCATTGCCTTCCCTGCCTGCTAGCCGGACATAAACAGATAGTAACGTACAGATGACCAAACCTCGCGACGGGTTGGGCTGATCCAAGGCTATCGGTTTGAGTTTCCACGGCAATCGCCATTTCGGTCCATTTAAATCTTCGAAGCTTCGAAATGGTCGTTCTGAACCAATAGACCTATTGCTAAATTAACCGAGCATCAAGGAGAATGCGGGGAATTGTGCTCTCCGCGCCACACGCGCACGCCTTCCCCGTATAAAAGATTCCAAATAAATAACCGAAATAAAGCGTTGACGAACGCGCGTGCAAGATGCAATTTGTTAAAGGCATTTGCTTTAGAAAAGTTACTACTGCTGAGGCCAGCACTTGCGGCGCATAGAACACCAATCCCTGCATTCTCCTTGACACTTGGGTAATTTAGCAATAGGTCGATTGCTCCAAGATTGCTATAGACCTTTTCCGCCTACTCTCGCCCCCGACCGCCAACTAGGCATTTCCGGTATGGGCGACGAAAAAATATTAAAACGTTTCAACCGGCAAATAGTAAAAAAATAGAGGGGAGAGAAAACGAGAATGGGTTACGGTTACGCTTTTCTTCTAAATGCATTCTATTGGCGTGGCGACGGCAAAACAATGTTCTCGCCCATACTGGAAGTGACGACAATTCAAGATGGCGGCGCCCTTGTAGAAAGGGTCTATCTAGCGTCATCGTACTGGAGGCATTCCTCTCCAATACAAGCGTCTTCGTGACTGTACATGCAATCAACTTATCAATCATACGTATTTCCACATATCTCAACGATGACGTTGTTGTTCTTGCGTATTTCAAGACAGGAAAATTCTTTGTTAACGCCGCCAAGCACCGACGCCGCACCTGGTGGCGTTGTGAATATGTACGCTTGCTTCGCCACTGTACGGGTAACAAAGCCTCGGTATTCAAAAAATGCCTTCATAAAGTAACCTGTCTTCGGAAATTTACATCGGCTCACCAAGATTGGAGACGTCAAAGAGAAAGTGCTAACTCCTTAAACCAAAATGTCGACCACAGGGGAGCTTGACTCTACTTTCCCAGGTTCCTGTGACCTCAGGGGTATTCACTGGACGAAATAGCTCACTCCTAAGACTGGAAATCTTGATGGGGTGGAATGCACGTTGCAAAATACTGTGGAAGCTCACCGTCAGCACCCGCTCAGCAGTCGCGCTCACACCTATGGCGGCCAATGAATACTCCCCGTAGACAATTACAAGCATGGCGCCCCGACTGGTGCCCCATGCGTGCAGACACGTGCAGCTGGCGTGTGAACATAGCTTTGGCGCGCGCCCTCCTATAGAGAGTGTTCACTATACTTCGTTTCACCTTATGTTGTACCGCAGCGAAGGCTGGAAGCGCGAGCTCATAGCGTTGGCAGCCGCTCTACGAGAGCTTGTGCCGCCGAGATGTGCCCCAGAGCAAGGAGCTCGCTCTTGTAGCCTTCCCTGCAGTACATCATAAGGTGAAACAGAGTATAGACGCGATATTTGTGGGTGCTGTTCAGAGCGCATGCTCAGAACGAGCTCACATCAATAGGCTGCTAAGACCGGCACTTTTGATGGTGCGGAATGCACGTTGCAAAAGAACTGTGGAAGCTCGCCATCAGCACGCCCTCAGCATTCGCGCACACAGCTATGGCCTCCAGTGAATACTCCCTATGGTTTCCTTTCATGACGTCATTACCTTGCGAACAACGAGTTCGATGGTGTTTAAATGAGCATAGTGGGAGCTTGAAATCATTACGCTCTGAAAGCAACACTGCCAACACCATCGCAATTCAAGTTCTTCCATTTCTTTACTTCCGTTGATGAGAAATCTCTTGCTGACGTCATAGTCAGCATTTGGCCAACCGTGGAAGGCCGAGCACAGCGACGCTTTCGATCGCTCACGTCACCGGTTACACGGGCTTGTTTGCACTAAAGTCACGAGCAGAGACATGGCGGTGGCCAGTCGCCTTGTTTGCAATCGTCTATAGTGCCGTTAACGAGGAAGTCGCAGTGCGGTGTGCGTTTTCTTCGCTCCGTTCTTTCTTGTACCCGGCGTTATGATGCTGGAGTCGCCGCGGCGCCAAAAACGAAAGTGCTGAGATTGCATCTAGCTCGAAGGTGCCTCACATTCTATGTTACTACTGCCTTTGCCACGATAGTTGGGGAAAAAGATAATTTTTTAACCTGCCTTCTCTCGTCACCCGATTGTTTCAGCTTCACCGGAGTCATTCGAGAACAAGTCGACGTCTGACTTCGCTCTGAATGATAGCAACTACGGGAGCGGGGGAGGCGGCAGCGGTAGCGGAGGCGGCGGAAGCAACGGCAGCGGCAGCAACGGGGGCAGCGGTGGAGGCAGCGGGGGTCGCTGCTTGGACTCCAAGCGCAAGCACTCGTCTGTGACCACGGGCGACTCGGGCAACGAGTCGCTCACGGTCAAGGAACAGCAGACCACGACGAGCAGCAGCTGCGGGAGCCGCAACGGCAGTGCCGGTGGAGATAGCACCGAGAACAACTACCCGCCCTGCCCGCCGCTCACCGAAGAAGTGCTGCTCCAGCACAATCGCATGGCGCACAAGCATGTCAAGCACCCGGCCCCGGAAGAGTTCTGCGCCGCCAAGGACAACTACCGGTTTAAGCGCAGCGGGTCTCCGCCGGTCAACTCGGTCCTCCACAAGCACACAAAGCCCAGCAGGGACGGAGTTGATGGTGAGAACTATGACTTTTTAAACAGAAATACGAGTAGCGGAGAAAAAGGGCGGAAACTGCCGCGTGCAGGCGTTTGAAACTTGAGCTTCCGAGGAAAACGCTGACCCGAGGTGTCGATTTTTGATCGTAGGTTCGACAGCAGCGTCGGCGCCGTTCACACCCCTGATGCACGCGGCTTCCCTGGTGACGTCGCAGCCGGACAACGTGGCCGCCTTCATGCCGAATCTGGCCATCCCAACGTACACCTACGTACCGCTCAACAGCACGCAGACCCCCGCCAACACGCCTTTCCTTATCCCAGGTAAGGTTACGCTACGCCAGGCCGAAAAGGTGGCACAGAAAACCCTAATTAACTCTCGTTGCCCCTCCTGGTGACATTCTACAAAGTGTGCAAGGCCACTCTTGGCTCGAGTGCGCAACTATGTAAAAAAAAAAAAAGAGAAACAGGTTAAGTTGTAAGCTATTTAGAAAATTCTAGCCAACTCGCCTAGAGGCAAAATAATGTTGCCCTGAGAATGAGGACATTCGCAAGCTTCGCGTTCCACTTTTTTGACACTCTGAAACAGTTCAACGATCATGTATTCCAATGAGTGAAACTAACAGTATTGGCCATCGTAGTTGTTGGGTTTAAGATGACGTCTGTATGCTAAGAAATTAAAGCCCTCCACATTGTCTGTTGAAATTGCCCTAAGTACACGTTTTTTGATCCGTAGAGTATTGTAAACCTGTCATTCAGAAAGTAATTTTAGATGGTGAGTTGCCTCATTTTGAAGATACAATTTTAGTAAATTAGAATCCGCTGTTCTTAGGCTCAAGTGACATTTTTGTTATTAGAAAATGACTGCATCGTTTGTTAAATCTCGTTTCCTTTTGTGTCGTGCAGTGATGTACGTGGGTGGCGTTCCACTTTACCCGTCGCTATCTACCATGGAGGGCACCCAGTCCAAGGGCATGTGGCAGTGCGGAGCCCTGCCTCTGATGCCCATGTGGCAGCAGACTTCGGTTGGCTCTCAAGAGCTTTCCAAGCAGGAGAAAGCTAGCTCCGGTGGAAACGTCTGCTCCGACAAGCTTACGGAGGACGGGCTCAGGAAGGTACGTGCTCGGTTGAAGTGGCTAAGAAAAGAGGTATCATTAATGGTGACGAAAAGAAACATAAGAGCAGGTGCTGTTGAAAGACGTGAGAAAACTGCATCACGTAAGATCAGGCGCCGTAAAATAAAAGGGAGTTGTAAATGGAAACTTTGTGGCGCCTGTTTTACAGACAATGGTTACGAATTGCGCTACAGCATTGTTCTTTCATGGCCTTTCCCCCTTTACTGTAATGCCCTCTAGAAGATATAGGTATTAAAAAATAAAAATGGGGCAGCCTACACGCCAGCATCCCTCTAAATGTGATAACTGCTATCATTTTTTGTTTTTGCCTGAATGCTGCAGAAGAACGAAAAGGGGAGAGAGGGGGGGGGGGGGGTATTTGGTCGCAACAGCCTAATCTCTTTGAAAGCAGTCCACTCATTACCATGACTTCCACAAACCCTTCAAATAGTACCCGCACAAATTATTATCATACTGAATGGCTGCGGAGATGTTTCAGGACATTTAAAGACAAAGGCATTTCCCCGAAATTAATTAAGCCTCGTCTCTTTCGGTAACACCAGCAGGAGACGTCGGACAAGACACTTCCAAACCTGAAGGACGGTGGCGGCGCACCCTGTGGCGACGTCGACGGTAGTGGTCGCGCCTTCAAGCAGTACGCTACAAAATACAGCGTCGGAGCCGTACCTGGGTTGACCGGCTCAAAAGACAAGAAAGCGGAGGACCTGAACAACCACGAAGGCAGCGATAAGGACACCCAGCAGGACGACTCGGTGTCACTCTCCTTCGAGTCATCCTTTTTCGGGAAATCGGAGAACTCAGAAAGCCAGTTCTCATCAGAAAAATCTTCCGAGGTAAGGAGATTGATCACTGGGCGTCGAAGGCAAATGCACCATCTCATCCGTCAAAAGCTGCCATTGAAAGGTGGCTGAAGGCTGCTTCACACATTTGCGTTTGAGTCTGGCCGACTGCGTTGCAACTGCTCGCGGCTGCTTAGGAGGAGGGAACACACTGGCGTCGCCATCTCTCGGGTATTCCTGAAACACTTCCGGTCTGCGCATGTCGTTTTGCGTTATTCTTCTGCCGTTGGCTTGAAATAATTCTGACAATGATATATAATCGACGATGTTTCATCGATAGTGTCTAAATTTCATGGATAGTGTCTAAATTTAATTTCATTAAATTTGATCTCTAGTTATATGCAGAGCCAGGGCTACCTGAAAGCTGGCGCCAGTGTGCCAGTTTGTTCTCTTGTCGCAAGCGGGCACAAGCGCTTGCAACGAAATCGATCCCTTTCCAACGGAAATTTGTGATCAGCCTTTAGACACCTGCTTATTTGAAGACATATTGACCTCGCCAGTGTTTTAAAGTAAAATAGATCAGATGACATCCGCACGAAACGTCTTTTCTGGTGTATATACAAAGCTGTGACAATATTTGTTTTGTTTATTGAGTTGTGGTTGGTTTATTAATACACATCGTTAGCTGTTTTATTCAGATTTATTCGATACGCACGAGCAGGTACTAATTGCATTCTCTTTCCTTTCCTTAGCCCATCATGCCATCTGTTTGCTAGCTACCTTTTGTCTCGAAGCTTCGAAATTTAGTCAAGTAAACGTTCCATTTCATCATATTTTTGCTCAGTTAAGTTATTTAGACTTGTGCCAGATGCAGGTTCGTCATGTCTCAAGGTTTAGAATACTTTAACAGCGAACATTATCTATATATTCACTCAATCACGTTCACCGTAAGTATAGCCTATCACAATGTTTCTAGTGAATGCTTTACATATCCACCTATTTACAATACTTTCTCTCTCCTTTTACTCCCTCTATGTAAAAGGCATTTTTTATGGAAGTATATAGCTATTTGAAAAGAACATCTTGTATGTATAGACAACTAGAAGTCTTTTGAGTTCTGGCGACAAGAGTCACGCTGCAGACAAACATGGCTATGCTTTCCCTACCGCATTTGTCCAGATTTCTCTAATCTTACAATGTACCTCTCTCCTACTCTACCAAGTCTTTAGATGGACTACCCTGATAATAAATCTTTAGTCTTCTTACAATCAGCACAGTTCATGCCGAGTTCATTTTTCTAACGCAGTGGACAATAAGACTTCATAGATTATGATATATTGTGCCGAGACCAAAAAACCTCGTATACATTTGAAGTGCTGCTTACTAATCAGCGGGTGAATGCAACCACGACACAGATCTATCTTTTTTTAATGGACGATGTGTTCCTGTCCAAAACTCTTATATTTCCTCGCCCTTCATACTATAAGACGTTGGAAAATAATACTTGTGTCGGGCATCAGAGAAAAAATCTATCTAAGTATACCTTGAAGAATGAATATCACAAGACTTGTTGTTGGTTAGTTGGTGCATGATGTTCACAAAAACTTCGACGCGCAAACGGAGAAGGAAACGAGGACGGGGATACCGACAACCGCTTGTTCTTTCTTCGTGCTCGTCTCTGTTTGCATATACATGTCTAAGTGAGTATAAATATGATTACAATTACCGAGAAAAAAAATTCATAAAACGTGTTATTCGTTTTCTCGCAGGATACGGACACGGAGATGAAGATACGCCGACGCAAGCACCCCATGCGTGGCACTCTTCGAGAGCCCCACTGGACCGAAGGCGTGAACCTAACCGCGGACCTGGTGTACCGGTACCAGCTGCGGGCGGCCGATCTGGCTGACGTGCTGAAGAGCGACATGGACAAGCTGCAGCGGCTGCAGCAGCCGCGGCTCGTCAACGAGCAGCTCTCCGTGCTCCAGCACGAACTCGAAGACCGCGAAGACCTCGATGAGGCCACGGCGGGAGGGGACGACCTCCGTCCTAAGGACCAGGACATCGCCTCCTCACAAGGATTAACGGCCGCCCAGAACTGCGCCTGCATGTACGCCATGGAAGAAGACCTCACCGAAGTAAGTGGGCATCTGTGTACTTCCTGTCAGCCTGTCTCTATGCTCCAATACGTGGCAAGGTTAGCGGTATAGAGTAAAGGCCTGTTAACATACACACAGCTGTGTTAGCTCGACGCTAATAAAAAGTGCTGCAAATAGCGCTGACCTTGCTGATGCGGCGCTGACCTCGCGCTATATTAGTGATACGGCACCGATTCAGGGGGGCATCAGTGCTAGGTTAACTTCAAGTCAGCGCTGCATAAGCGCTGTTTCTATACTGTTGATTTATCAATGTGATTTATCAAGCGAGATTAAGGTCGTAAATCTTGAAAACTATTTCCCTATACACCAGTCCTCGCCCGTGCCCTATCTGTTCAAGCACTTGCAGCACGCACACGAATGTAACTTTTCTAAGCTTAAAATTACACCTGCTTACGCACACGAACAGAAGCGTAGTAAGAGTTAGAATGGTTTGCTCGTAACCGTCTATAAGCCTGAGGCTCCAGGTCCGGTAGTTTTCTTAACCTGGAATACAAGATCTAAAACGTTGTATTGGTGCCAACACATATTTATGTTGTTAGGTGTTTGCGATACTTTCGCTATCTCGAACAAAAGCAGGCGGAAGGGTGGCGTAGGCAATGAGCACTTGAGGGGATCACAAAGAGCCTTAAATTGAAGCGGAGGCTTTGAGGGCCTTCCAGAGGTATCTCATGAATGTAGCTTCCGTTTTCAAAGGGTACCTTTTAAACCGCGAGACGGTTCTCCCGAACGAGTAGCTTTAAAAAAAAAAAAAAGTCGTACTGTGCTCGCATGGCCTACAGTCCTAACACTCACCCCAGGTGTGAGTGAATGCAAAGTGTAAGCATGCTGTCTTCAACGACACTTGCAAGTTCGTATGTGCCACGTTCGCCCTTATGATGAACGAATAAGCCAGACCCCCGCACCCCGCACCCTCACGAAATGAAATAAATGGAGCACGGTTTTTTTTTTTTTTTTATGGTTTTTTTCAGCATAACACGGTTTCTAAGTGCGGGACTATATCGCAGGCTCTCGCGATATTTCTGGGCGTTCCAGGAAATGGAGGAACTGGAGCGCCGAATGCTGTCCTCGATCGACCCTGATTACTGAGGGTCTGACGTCTGCGCTCCTTCGTACCGGACTCGGAACGTCGCTCCCTCCCCGCCGGCAAGGCTTCATTCACCGGGATTCCAGTGCCTCCCCGTTTTCGCTGCCCTTCTTCCTGTGTTCCCGTGAACAGTGTACATACTACCGCCGTCCACGAGATCTCCAGGGAGAACTGTTGTCGCCGTTTCTCTGCAAACCAACTCTCGGTGTTGTTCTCAGCCTCACTTGTCGGCAAGACAAAGTGCGTAGCAATTTGGTCCAGGTGTGTCTTACCATACCGAAAACGGCTGCCATCGTGCAGAAGACTCGGCCAACGCGATGGTTGAGACTTTTGGGCTATTTTATCGTGCAGGAGTGGATGGTTCGTGGTACTTTGCGACTTGCATTTGAATATATGTGACTCTTTTGTTTTTGGCTGGAACATTGTATTAAAACAGGTCATTCGCTCTGTAATGGCAGTAGTTGAAGTAAGCTAATACGATGATTGTTAGCTTTTTTTTTTTTGGCAAATAAGACAACTTGAACTCTACTGGACCACTCCCTCTTAAACTCGAAACGAGTGCCATAGGGAACTATTTTAAAGGAAGATTGTTGCGTGAAGCTTATGATGACAGCGAATATCTATATTAATTTACTAAACCTTCGTTCAGAACAAATTCAGTCTTATGGTGGCACTGAAATAAATCCGGCATTATAAATTGGAGTAGGCAACTTAACTAAATTTTTAATTAAAACTAAAAGTTTTTGTTTCGTGGTCTCCAAACACCGATGTTTATCGTCATCTTTCGCAATTTTGCTGTTATTGTATTGTATTGTATATTCTTTATTTGAGACAAAAAAAAACAAGTCTGAGGGGCTAGTGCAAAAGAAGACGAAATTGTCTTCTTACGGTACCCAAGCCCCCGATATTTTCTCGTGTTTGACTTATGATCATCGAGCTTTGTTTGCTTTCTTATTATGGTGTATTGTACAGAGGCATGAAATTGCCGCAAATGAGGAGGCACTCTCAAGCTTGCGGTTCACCACAATCAAGGACCAGTTTGGTTGTGAATTTTAAATGTAGCAACTAATCACTTTTTCAGGGCCAATAATGTAAGAATTGCGATGCGCTTACATGCTCGCCGTTCTCGGAATGCAATGTGCACCGCTTTCTCAGAATCAGTCGCTTACAGGGAACTAAACACGCGATGATATCTGCTGTTCAAATTCATAATGTACCTCCTTTTGTATATTAAACAATGTGTGTTCCTGAGTCACTGCATGTTCTGAGTGAAACACCCAGTAACATAATAACTATCCTGTCTCTCCTTTTTTTTTTTTTCTTGCTTTTGCGTTGTGTAGTATGTTACAAGCAAGCGTCAATGGGGCTTGAGGGTGGCGATTGAGATCAATTAAACTGCAAACAAGATCAGAGTAAGGTGAGTCCATTGCGCGGTTCCTCGAGACAGCGGCCTCGCCACTCGACCGTAATGCAGTCGTCATAATCGAAGACGACTTAAAAAAATCCACGGCATCTCATTATGGCTCCACGGCCAATCAGATTGCGGCATTAGCTGATAAGAACGGCGAAAAACCAATCAGAAAGCAAGCGGCGTGGACACAAGCCGCACCCTGCGGTTTCTTGTGATGTCAGGGACTACACCGCCGACAGCTCCAGTCCAACTAACTACTCATGGACATGTCTCGCCAGAGCGTGAAGAACACTCTGTTAATGGGGGCATTCAAATTTTACATTTTGAGCCGGAAAAAAGCTATGCCATTGTGCCGGTCGATGCGACAATTCGTGTTTCTCAAGAGTATTATAATCGCGTCAGAACGCATTCCACGCGCAATTAGACAAAGATGTCAGCGCGCTGAAAGCGAATATTACAATTCTTTTATAACTATTTAAATTGTACCTCCCCTCCGCGCGGCTACGGAGAGGTCGAATTTGACTGACTTGATTGCTGAGACGGTGCAGAGATGGCGCAAGCTGTCGAGGCCTGAGCTCTAGGCGCGAATACGTAGAAGTTGAACGGGCTACCGGGTACGGACCCCATTTTCTCGTTGAAAATTCTTAAAGGTTACATTAGACTTCCATAAAATATGCTCATAGTAATAGAGATGATGATGAACTCGAGCGCACCGTAATTATTCATTTAGTTATGTGAGTTGATTACCTGACTTTGAAAGTTTACGCTTTACAACCCCTCGAGGGGTTGTAAAAAGCTAAAGTACAAGTATTCATTTAAAACGAAGTTTGCGAATTGTTAAAAATTAGGGGTATATATTAAGAGAAGTGCAACTCCAACAGGAATACAACGCACGGAGAACTCATGGTCAAACTTGCGTATTTCAACAACCTCTTTACAATATTTCAAAGAAACAAGGGAAATAATGTCTCAATAGATAATGAGTTGACATACTGCTCAAGAAAGCTGCTCTAATTTCTTGACAGTACGTGAGGAATCGAACTTGGAAACAGCGGGAGAAATATTAAAAATAAAGAAACGATACATTAAAATTTCGTTTACGTACTTCTTTCTTTCTCCTATGCGAAAATTATACAAATTCTTGCAGATTTCGGAAACACAACCCGCAACCCCCTCCCCCTCCCTCCCCCCTCGTTAAAAAAAAAAAAAGAAAGAAAGAGCAACATTAAAGCACTAAACATCACAAGCGGTAAACATTTAAAGTCACACAACCGAAAATCTTGAATTATTTTCTCTCTCGGCGCCGTATGGATACGGATACTACACCGATGTGTTTTCTCACATACATCACTCACTTGGCCATTGAGAAGTAATCTCTGTTGAATTCATCATCAAGCACGAGATTGCCGGCTGCTCTCCACGTGGCAAGGTGATGTTACGCGCTACGCAATCGTTTACGTGCCCTTTAGGAGCATTAGGCACCACGTGGTCGACCAGACAAACAGGCGCACCACGCATTTCCCCGTCGTGCGCGGTCGTGCGATGATTTCCCTCGTTGTTTTCGTAGCACAATCGGTTATCGCTTCCCGCGAAAGCTTCCAGGTTCTGGCAGCGTACGCTGAGGCTGGAATGAGGCCAAATGAAGGACAGGCGAGCGACAAAACAAACGCCGCCCTTCCGCAGTACGTGTTTCCGTTTGTGTGACGTATTTTGTGACAGGTTTTACTGTTCTCGTACAGCACGTTTGGAATGTCCTCGGGCAAAAACGGTAGAAACAAAGGGACGAAGAATTGCATTGCATATTAACGGGGGGATATGTTTTCTTCCCAAAGAGACCTATCTAATATGACTATGTCGTCACCAACACCGACAGCTCAAGTAACTCAGGATTTGAGCTCTTATTACATTCGAGGCAAGTTTAAAATGTTTGATGTTTTAAAAACTCTGAAGGAGATACGCTTATATCACATTTATGAATATGTTCATACACGTTAACGGTGCATGTCACAAACGCTTGGAGCTTTCGTTTCCAGAAATGACAAATGAGACCTTTCCAGTATGTGCCAAATGGACAGAAATTGCTAATTTGTATTTGAGTTCGAAATTACTTGAAACTTAGCTACATCTATTATTGCGAACATTCTATGTTCCTTACCAAATGCGCGCACTCTTTGCATGCTGTCCATCCGACGCCTTGGTCTATTTGATATCCTTTATCAAGACCCACGATGAACATTTAAAAATTCCTATTTTTTTTACAGTTAAAACAGGCTAAAGGTTAAAGTGGGATTGATAATGCCCTAATTATGTAACAAGTTTTGTCGTTTAACTTGTTTTTGTTTTATTGACCATGGAAAAAAACTACACGAGGACATCTAGAAATACTCTGTTAAAACGTTAAATAAAAATTACATAAAGGTCCATTGGCGGATTTTCAGGGAATGCGTGAGCATGACACTTGGGAAGCGCCACTCACGTCCCCCCTTGGAAATCGCTAACGCTGACTCCTTCACTTTTCTGTTTTGGCTTTCTCTTTTTTGCTTCCTCTGTTTGCTCCCTCTTTTCGGCCTCGTTACGGGGTCAGTGTTAGCGTTTCCCAAAGGGCGACGTGTGTGGCGTTTCCCGAGTGTCATGCTAACGCATTCCCTAAAAATTCACCAGTGGATCTTTAATTTTTTCAGCCCCTTTTCTGTACTCTGCCGTTCAGAGTACGTCCACGCCCTCGGATACGGTCATCAATATCATTAGTGGAAGGAACCGCATTCGTATCCCTCGTAAAGGGAACAATATTCATCGTTTTAACTGCACACACACATCACAGCCCACGCACCGCAACTACGGGAAGCCAGAGCGAAGAACAACCGGCGACGGCAAAGCGGCGACTGAGCACGCCCGCATTTCACCGCGCCGCGGCGCCTCCTCCTCTCTAGGGATGTCGCGAACCACCCTAGGTTTGATTTCAAAAGGTTTCGACATTTGCGAAGCGAACTGATGTTTGTTTTCGAAAAATTTCAATATTTTCGTACTGACCGAGGTTCGAATCGAAAAATTCGCAACTTTCGATGACAGCAGAGTTATCGAAATCGAAAAGTTCGAAGCTTTCACAGTTTTAAAATTTTGGGTTCGAATATTTCGAATATTTTTTTTACTTGAGGTTCGATAAATTCTAAGATTTCGAACTTTCCTAACTTGAAATTCGAGATATTCGAAAAATCTGAATTTCTTGGGATCTGAAGTTCGAAAAGTTCGAAGATTTCGAAATTCTTTGGAAATAAAATTCAAAAACTTCGAACGCCTCGAATTTTTATAGACATGTAGTTCGAACAATTCGAATATTTTGAATTTTTTTCTGCATAAAGATCGAAAAGTTTGAAAATTTCGAAATTCGGGGGAAAAAAAACTTCGAAGATTTTGAATTCCTCTCAAGTTCAAGTTTTCAAAGTTCGAAGTCCGGTTTTCAAGTTCCTCCACCCCCAGTTTCAGTTTCAAATAACGTTTTCACGACTCACTGGTTTTCATGAAATCAAGTTTAGAAAAGTTAGGGTGTGATATCTAGACTCTTCGAAGTTGGTCAGGCAATTAAATAAGACGACAAGTGTCCCGGATGTGCTGGAATATTTGCCAGTGCAGAGTGACGTGTGACCATAGATGAGTAATTGTGACCGCCAGCCGGGGGGGGGGGGGGGGGGTCTTTGACGTGCATCACGCAGTAGTGATCACACGAACACACTGTTTTACGATCGTCATCCAGTTCGAAATGGCCACGGGCGGGCAGGAGGTTGAGGCTCAGAAAAACCTTGAAGCGACCTGGTAAACTACGTCCCCACCCCTTGCACGCTGGTAGTAATCCGATCGAACGCTGCCCGAGTGACGTTGGCCTATAGTAAGTTAAGTTTGTAATTGTCCTGGAGGTTTATTTTCCGGGGCGGAGGAATCGCCCCGCAGAAAGCACAAAAGCCGACACAACTCGAGGTCGAGGTGCGTTCTACCATACAAGTGGCGCCGGAAGAGGAAAAACGGGGGGGGGGGGGGGGGGGGGTCTTCAGCCTTTCTTACAGATATTTCGGATTGTTAAAGAAAACAGTACAGGAAAAGAGGGCGTGGTCGGGCTTATTTTGATCTGAAATTATTTATGCATATGTATAGCTACTGTCGCTCTTCACTGCATAAAAGATCGCGTAGATGGTCATCGTTAGAAACTCATTGTCAGAAGGCACTACTCGTCACATGCTTAGTGGTTCGGAAGTTGAAAGCTATGTCTTAACTGTATTAATTGTGAGTCCACACATCTCGGTACCAGAAGAGAACTGACTCTCGTGCTTTATGTCATGAGCCCGCGCCAGGCTCCGAGCTGCTGCTCGAGCGCCCGCGCAACACCGATACATCTTCCGCTCTTTAAAGAAAAGAAGTACAAAGAAAATAAGTACGAAAATAACATAACATACAAAGAATGCGGATAGCATTAAATAAAAAATGAACACACAAAAGAAACTATGGAAACTGTTCAAATGTTTTGTCGTAGGTTAGTCGACGTGGTGCGTGTCTGCTTCGTGATGATCTTCTCAGTGCTGGAGCCTCATCTGTCAAAGTTTCACCAGATGCTGGGGATGGATGTGTGGAACGATGGTCTGTATCTGGGTTACAGTGTGGTTGTGGAAGCTGCGGAGACTGCGAAGTCTGTGAAGGCTGCGGATTGTCATGGGCGTCGGAGTGCTGCTGTGGTGAAGCGGCATCTTCATCCAGGCAATCATTGAATGCCTCCGACGTTTTCAACAAATGACGGCGGTTTCTCCTGTAGATCCTGTTCCGGTCGGTTTGGACAGTGTAGGAGCGTGGCCCGGCACAATTTGTTACCCTAGCTTTCTCAAACCAACCGCCTTTCCCTCGCATGCGGACGACGTCACCGCTCTTCAGGTCCTTCAGCGACGTTCCAGGCTTGTTTTGTTGCCTCTTGCACACAGGTTTCCTCGGGTGCGATGAGAAATCAGGAAGTTGTGCTCGCAGTTTTCTTCCATACAGCAACTCTCCCGGAGACTGTCCTCCTATCAAAGGGGAACACCGATAGTTCAAGAGACCGAGAAAAAAATCATCCCCTGCATCATCACATTTCTTTAAAATTCTCTTTGCAATTTGTACCCCTTTTTCAGCAAGACCATTGGATTGCGGAAAGTGGGGGCTTGATGTCACGTGATGGAAGTCATAAACCTTAGAAAACCGTTTAAACTCGGAAGATGAAAATTGTGGTCCATTGTCTGAGCAAACTTCTATTGGAATGCCGTGCCTTGCGAACCAGCCTGACAATGTATGGATGATGGTTTGCGAACAGGTGTCCTGGAGTCTTTCAACCTCTGGGTAGTTTGAATACGCATCAAACGCAACTAAATAAGAGTAACCTCCATAGGCAAACAAGTCAATGCCAACACGATACCATGCGTAAGGAGGAGGCTCGCGCATCATTAGTGGTTCGCGGGGTTGTTGATATGCAAACTTCTTACATGTCGCGCATTCCGCAACAAAGGTGTGAATGTCCTGCGCCATTTTGGGCCAAAACATGAGTTGGCGTCCCCTTTCTTTACATTTGTTTACACCTAAGTGCCCTTGGTGGACCCGAGCTAACATAACTCGCCGAAGTGACAAAGGGATCACCACTTCGTTCCTTTAAGAATTAATCCATTGACCACCGACAGTTCAGGGTCTAGTGAGCTGAAGTTTCCTTGCAGTGCGTACCCGTTCTCTAGACAGTGAAGGACGTGTTGTAACTCAGGGTCCCTCTGTGTTTCAGTTCTGAGTCTGTCCTGTGTTGTCTCGCTCACAAGTGCGGCAAGCATTCCCACAGCGTGTACTTCAACATCCTCCAAGCCTTGCTTGTGATGAGGACTATGCTGCCCAGCTCTTGACAAAGCGTCAGCTAGCACAAGCTTTCTGCCAGGTAGAAACTGTAGCGTGAAGTCGTACCTCATCAGTCTCAAAAAGAAACGTTGTAGGCGAGGGGGAACATCACCCAGTCTTTTTTTTTTTTTTTTGATAAAGCGACCAACGGGCTGTGATCAGTCTCGAGAAGGATGTGTCTACCATATGTAAGGTGGTGAAACCTCTCACATCCAAATACCAGCCCAAGCGCCTCCTTGCCAATCTGAGAGTATCGTGATTCGCTGTCCGAGAGTGATCGGGAGGCATACGCTACAGGGCGCCACGACTTGTCGTACAGCTGCAATAAGGCCGCTCCGAGTCCATCTGTAGACGCGTCAGCCGACAGTTTTGTGGGTCTACTAGGGTCAAAAAGTTCGAGGACTGGAGCACTGGTCAGCATGAGTTTTAATTGCTTCCACTCATTGTCATGAGCCGCTGTCCACTCAAAAAGTACATCTTCGCGAAGAAGTTGTCTAAGATTCGCTGTACGTTCGGATAAACTCTTTAAGTATTTTCCAAAGTAATTTATAACGCCAAGCATGCGCTGGAGAGCTTTCTTGTTTGTGGGTGCATCCATCTTCACGATATTTTCTAAAAGACTCGGATCAGGCCTGATACCTTCTTTGCTCGCTACATCCCCAAGGAAAATTACTTCTGGAATTCCAAACTGGCATTTCTCTGAGTTTAGCGTCAGGCCTGCGCTGTGTGCAGCTTGCAGAACTGATATCAGCCGATCATCATGCTCCTGTTGCGTAGCTCCCCAGACCAGCACGTCATCAATGTAAACACGTACCCCCTTCAGTCCTTCAAAAATTTCAGACATCGCACACTGGAATACCTCTGGCGCAGAAGTCAATCCAAATGGCAACCTCAAAAATCGGTATCGTCCAAAAGGGGTGCCGAATGTGCAAACTCGCGATGTTTCGTCAGTCAACGGGATTTGGTGAAAGCCTGCCCGCGCATCAAGCTTTGAAAACACTGTGGCGCTAGCAAGCTCAGCTTGTATATCTTCCCTTCTCGGCATTTCGAAATGCTCACGTCTCAGACACTCATTGATTCTTCGTGGGTCCATGCATACCCTTAAACTGCCGTTCTTCTTTTTCACCAAGACTAGGGGGCTTACCCAGTCTGAGGGCTCCTTCATTCTTGTGATAATTCCTGCCTGCTCCATGCGGTTCAGTTCTTGCTTCAGCGACTCCATGAGGGCTTGAGGTACCCTACGGGTGGGTTGAACGACAGGCACTGTGCCTTCCTTAAAAGAGATGCTGTAGGGACGTTGGATTTTTCCGATGCCTTCAAACAGTGCTGGAAATTCTCGCTGAACTTGGGATTGAGTATTCGTGATGGTGGCGATCTCGTGCACACGGTTCACCAAGCCTAACTCTTCACAAGTTGGCAATCCTAGAAGTGCACGCCTGTTCTTCTTGACGACAAAAAACTCGGCGGAAACAACTTTTCCTTGGAACTTGAGCGTGAGTCTGGCTTTTCCAAGGTGGCCGATAGCGCTGCCGTTGTAGCTTTGTAACACTGCCGGACTTGGTATCAGGTGCTGCCTGGAGTTGGCGCTTCGGAAGAGTGACAGCGGGAGAAGATTGACTTGGGAGCCGGTGCCTACCTTGAACTGTAGAGGCACCTTTTCAATCATTACCTTGATCAACCAGTCTTTCTCAGCGATTTTCCTGGACTCGCCGACCTGGAGTATCTCAAAGTTATCTTCTGACGGTATTTCTACTTCCTCCACTCGCCGACTGCTTTGCTCATCTTGAGACTTTGCGTCACAACATGTCGCGAAATGGCGTTTCTTTCCGCACAAATTGCATTTCTTGCCGAAAGCTGGGCATCGGCGTGGTGCGTGAAATCGGTTGCACTTTCGACATGGCAGACGTGACGCACTTTTTTCACTCTTTTGCATGGCGTCTACTTGTTCTACTGGTGTCGGGTGCTGATCCTTCCACATCCTCGCTTGCTGCGACGAATTCTCTGCAGCTTTGCAGATTCTCGTTGCTTTCTCAAGGGTCAGGTCATCCTCCCTCAGCAGACGTTCCCGCAGTTTGTGATCTCTGACGCCATCGACAATCTGATCTCTCACAAGAGAATCTGTCAGGTCGCCGAAATTACACGAGCGCACTTTGAGTTTAACGTCTCTCAAAAAGGTTTCAAAAGACTGACCTTCCATCTGGATCGTCTTGCGGAAAACGTGGCGTTCGAATGTTTCGTTTGCTTTCGGTGCACAATAATCTTGAAACTTGTGAACTACCGCCTCGAAGCTTGCCCTTTGTTCTTCCGTGAGAGTGAATGTGTTGAAGACGTCGACAGCTTCAGGTCCCGCGACGTGCAGCAAGATAGCTATCTTCTGCCTGTCTGTTCGAACCTCTGGATCAGACCCGGTCGCTTCAAGGAAGAGCTCCACTCGTTGAAGGAATCGTTTCCAGTTGTCTGCGACGTTCCCTGAGAACGATAACCCTTCCGGTGGTTTCAGCATCTCCATATTGGACTTCAAGGTTCGCCCGGTCAGATATCAGTCGGGTTTCGGCACCATGTATTAATTGTGAGTCCACACATCTCGGTACCAGAAGAGAACTGACTCTCGTGCTTTATGTCATGAGCCCGCGCCAGGCTGCGAGCTGCTGCTCGAGCGCCCGCGCAACACCGATACATTAACAACCTAAATAACTGTGCCAATGGTAAAAAAAGAAAAAAATACATATTAATAAATGCGGGGATAAAAAGTCTGAGAAAAAAAAAGACTATCAAGAACTCGCCGGAAATGTTGCATTCTTGCATATTCAGAGGTTCAGAACTTCGAAACACCTTTCTCCTACCAAAATATGTAAAGGCTAAAAGAAACACGTCCCAGGAACGTGAAGCAAATAAAAATGTTTTCTTTTATTGACGTGCTGAACTTGAACATTATTAGAAATCTTCTCCCATGAGTTAATTTATCCCTTAACTTGAAAAAACAATAAATACATTAATTTGTATTCTGCAGATGGCAATGATATGTACTGTCTGTGGTTTTAATTTATATGCGATACCTCAAACAACTTAGACGAAAATAAACACCAAGTTTAGGGCATAATTGCATGTAGATATGTGTTTGGACATTTCTTCGAAACTCACCTTATTTTGACAATAATCATATCTTAAAACGACGCTTACCTAGGCTATACATAGATCAATCTTAAAAAGTCTAACATCTCTACCATAAATAGCTTCGGCTACATCGCGCTTCAAATCTGGCACAAACGATAATCGTCACAAACCCGTCGTCTTTCCTCGCTCCTTCGGGAATTTATTTCTTTAAAACTAAGCATGCCAGAACATCGAAATAAACGGCATTGTCTTTCGTAAAGAACGCAACACCGCATGTAAAAGTTCGAGAAAAAAAAATTAAGAATGTACGTCACTACTTGAATTCAAATGAAACCGTCCGCCGGTCTTTCGAAGTTCGACGAAGGTCGAACTTTTACCCTAAAAATTCGAAGTTCGTCGAACTTCTGACTTTCCAGGATCGAAAGTTCGAAACTTTTCGAATTCTCTTGATAACTAAGTTCAAAAGTTCGAAAATTATCAAATTCCTGAGCATAGGAAATCGAAAGTTCGAACAGCTTCGAACTTTTTAGTACAAGAAAATCGAAAGTTCGAAAATCATCGAATTTTTGTCAGTCAAGTTCGGAAGTTCGACAAGCATTGAGTTTTGCAGCGTGATAAGTTCGAATGTTCGAAAAGGATCAAAATTTTTAGCGTAATAAGTTCGACGGTTCGAAAAGCGTCGAACTTCTTAGCTCAACAAGTTCGAAAATTCGTCTTCCGTTCAATTTTACGATATAGAAAATTCGAAAATTTGAAATCTTTCGAACCTTCCGAACCGCTTGATTCGATCATCGAAACTTCGATTCGAAAAAAGTTCGCGGCATACCTACTCCTTTCTGGCACCGCGTCTGCAACGCTCCCTTGGCGAAAACGAAAGAGCTCGTCTTGACGAAAACCTGGCAGTGTCTGTCAGTTTGTCAGCACCGGAGAGATGAGGAGAGGTTGACGCGTGCTGACGTCAGCGCTTCGGACCAATGGGAGCGTCGCACACGTCACGCTCTCCCCCTCCTTCTCCCTCTCTCCCCGGCGGTCACAAACGAAAGGCACAACCGGGCTTTCGTCAAAACGAGCCTGCTAATGCTAACGCATTAAAACAGGGAGGTACAGTATATGTAGCACTGCGTCGATGTGCTGAGTATATAAAGAAGTGAAATTATTATTGCGCGTCAGTAATTCGCAGTTTAAGGTATCTTTTATTTCCTTCCCCTTCCTAATTTTATAATATCAAATACACTGAAACAAAGTTTAAACAAATCTATAACATATTTGCCTCGGATACATCGTATGAGCTGTTAATTCAGGAAAGGTGTTCGTTGTTTATTTATTTGTTTATTTATTTATTTCATATGCTCTCTGTCCTACACAAGACTACGAATTAGATGGGAGTTAGACAACACAAGAAAATGCGCAAAATGCACACCTTAATACAATCCCTGCAGTACATTTAAATTAAAAATTGGAAGACTTTTACAATGTTCTGTAATGCCGAATTAGAGCGCAGCTCTTGAGGAGAAAAGGGGAAGGTACGGAGTGGAGGCTACGGAGGGGGGTCTATGCCGCTCCTCGCCGTCCGTACCCTCCCCTCCTCCTCCTCTCCTGCTCCCCTTCCATTTAGTGGAAAATTTTCCATTTAGCGGGGAAAAAATTTCCCCGCTAAATTAAGCCGGAAAATGTTCCCGCTAATTTTAGCGGGGAAGCTGAATGGTTGTTGACGTGACGTGACGTCAATTTCCGCGCCGAATTTAGCCGGGACATTTTTCCGCTAAATGTAGCGGAAACGGTTTTCCGCTAAATTTAACATGACGTCACATTCATTCGCACGACGTCACACGTGACGTCACGAGGGTAAAAGCTTCCCGCTAAATTTGGGGGGAAAGTTTTCCACTAAATTTAGCGTGAAAATTTTTCCGCCAAATATAGCGTAACACTTTTTCCGGGTTCAGTGGCGTCGCGTGTGACGTCATTATGGGAAACGTCCCATAATGCAAAGCGCGGTTACGCCGACGCCGCTCAGGCCGGAAACGGGCGCCTAAGAGCTGCACTCTAAAAAGAATGGCAGTTGACAAGTTCATGTACCACTGATCGAAATGTCTGAGCAGTGGCGTCACAAAAGGGGGAAGGGGGGGGGGGGGGGGTGCAGCTGGGCAGTGAAAGCAGTGAAATCTGGTAGGGGGGGGGGGGGGGGGGGGAAGCGCGACGGGCCACTGCCTTGGGTGCCGCTGACCCTAGTGACGCCACTGTGTCTGAGACAGGGAAAGCAAGTTCTCGAATTTCAACAGCCACAACGTGTGCTGGAAGTTTGTTCCATTCCCGCGCTGTTGTAAAAAAAAAAAAAAAAAAGAATGAGTAAAACAATCTTAGATATGTTTTCTCTTCCACATATACGGTGTGCTTTCCACGGGGTATACGCGACACTTTTTCATTTATATGTACTCGTTTATAATAACCAGGTTCTTAATTATGTGATACCGAGTCTAGCTTAGGATAAGGAAGCGTAAATAAATAAAAAGTAAAAACAAATAAAACGTAAATAAAACAAAATAAATAAAATGAAAAAATAAAGAGTACAATGTGTAGGAAAATAGTTAATTAGAATTAATCGTTAATTAGAAATAGTCGAAAAGTGGAAGTCATGGAACAAATAAAAGACTGCAAAACAAGGAGAAAACTATCCGACAGGAGATCACGTGTCCTTGGCACTTGACTCTTGATCCGACGCGAGAGTGCGGGAGCTCTCTCACGGAGATTGCGCGATCTTTCATTGTGAGTGCGTGTCACAGCCTCCTATTCATACGGCGAACTCAACTTATGCTCATCACTGTTCTGGGTGAAGAGACGAATGGAGACAATTTTTTAAAAGAAAGGCGAAAGGACCGTCGGGTTGGTAATTTAATTTACGCACTAGTTACGATGCGCAATATTTTCACGTCTAATAAATCATTACCATCAAGTGTATTTTCTCAATCAGACAGGATAACTGTAAATGTTCACGCAACAACTTGAGCATTCCATTATCTTATATGTTCGGACAAATAATGATAGACTGTACTGGTACAAAAATGTGAAATTCCTTAAAGGAAAATTGCAACGATTTTAAGATTAAAATAATTTGTATCTCGTCATTTTTACGTTTTTTATCGTGTCCCGGAGGATAGAGAAAACATCTCCTTCATTAAAAAATGTCGCGATTCCGCGTCATAATCGCAAAGAAAAAGTCGAGCTTTTTCCCTCACCTGCCGCCGCGAGTGGCAGCCGAAGGAACTACAGCTAAAAGCTTACGTGCCCTCGCTCGGCTCTAAGCTGCAGCATAACGCCCGCTCCTTCAAGAGAGCACACGAGAAGCTACACGGCATTCCGAATTACGTCACTGGGAGGGGGATCAGGTGTGACCCTGAAGAGTGGGAGTAAGTTGAGGGATGCCAGAAATGCCCATATTTAGCTTTTTTTTTTTCCTCAACAACTAGTGGCGAATCAATCGCCGCCGAGACCGAGCCGGCGGTACCGGCAACCAGAAACGCGCCGCCGGCACACCACGTGACCCTCACCACCCGA